TATTTAAAGAGGTTTCAGCATTCGGGCCCTCGTCCCCTTTCAAAGTTAAACTCTTGTGGTTTGAGTGGAAGTCCGGGAATGGGGGGAGGAGGAATTTCCCGTCTGGATAGTTTTTACTTTCGAGAAATGGACCGTCAAGAAATTGCCATTCGGGGAAGAGTCATTTCAAAGAACAGGTCTTCCGGGAAGAACAGATCAAGACCGATCCGAGATAAGTCCGCTTTGGGAAAATTCATTTCCAGGAATAAGCTGTTCTGGGAATTGTCTTTCGGGGAATAGCTCGACGGTGTCCCGTTCTTTCGAAGAAAAGCGGAATTCCTTCTCATCACTGATGAACCTCGCAATGGCCTCGAAACCATATGTTTGGTTACGAGGGAAATTCCATGTTAAAGGCATATTTTTCGATAAAGAAAGCAAGAAAATCACAGAAGGCTGTTCCTCGGCGACGAGGAGCGGAATCTACTCTGCATGACCTCCTATGGTTTTTGAAGCTCTTGTGAGGCTGCTTTACTTTTTCAAGACTATACCATACAGGAAGTTTGTTGTGCTTTTCTGTCCCCTAAGAGACGAACTTGTTTTGCTGCTTTCGCTATGACATGACACATCTTAAGTGAGGACGCTTACACTTTATGTGAGGGGACAGGAGATCATCTCTCAAAGTATTTAGCAAATTGTACGGACGCCTGTCGCGTGGGAAGGATATTCTGCGTGATCCATATCGTGCGAGAAACCTGAAAATGTAAGCTCCAGCAACTTACAGAATTCGGTCACAGTTCATCCTTCGTTCCTGCTTGCACTGACTTGAGAGACACTTGTCACACTTGAAACGATTTGTTTCATATCTTCATTTGCTTCCTATCTTCACCTTCGATTTGGTTCATATATCGTTCAGTCTTGGCCGAGAGTTCGTAGCGTGAGGACGTGTTGGAGGATACTCTCGAGGTTCTGTCAGCTAGGTCGTGAATTACAGGCCAGTAAATCTCACGAGTATCCCAGGGAAGATCATGGAAAGCATACTAAGAGACCATCTCTTGGATTTCCTCGAAGGAAACGCGCTCATTCGGGACTCTCAACACGGCTTTAGGAGGTGTCGAAATTGTCTCACCAATTTGCTCGAATTCTACGATTGGGCGACGGAAGAGAGGGATAAGGGGAATCTCGTGGACATCGTCTATTTAGATTTCGCGAAAGCTTTCGATACCGTTCCTCACAAGAGGTTGCGGATTAAACTGGAGGCGCACGGTATCCAGAGTAGGACGATCGAGTGGAGTTTGGTGACCAGAAGAGAGCAACGAGTGATGATGAATGGGAAAGCGTCGAAGGAGGTCGGAGTCGCAATCGGTGTGCCTCAAGGCTCGGTCCTTGGACCGCTTCTGTTTTTGGTCTACATAAACGATTTGGCGTAGATTTGGCTCGGCGTAGAGGGAAAGATAAGTAAATTTGCTGGCGACACCAATATAGGTTTTTCCATAAGTGAGGAGGCGGATAGTGCTAGAGCCGAGCGAGATTAAGTATTTTAGACGAGTGGAGCAAAAAATGGTTCATTAGGTTTAATAAAAGTAAGTGTAAAGTTCTCCTCGTCAGTCGAAATAACGGAAGGTCTCTCGACACGTTCGGCAAGGTTAAATGCTGGAGTCAAAAGGAGAGAGATTTAGGAGTCTCTATTTACGATGACCTCAAGTTTTCCTCGCACGCGCAAGCTACGGTGGCCAAATGCAACAGGATTCTAGGTTTCCTTTCTTATTCGGTTTGCAAGGAGGAGTTCGCGCGTTATTCTTCCGTTGTATGCGGCGCTCATAAGACCCCGGTTGGAGTATTGCATTCAGTTTTGGAGGCCTACAAACGAATGGGAAATGATGGCGATGGAGATGATACAGAGGAAGGTCATAAGAATTATTGAGGAGGTTAGGGGACTTCCGTACGAGAAGCGTTTAGAAGTGTTGGGACTGTACTCGCTCGAGAGAAGGCTAAGGAGGGGCGACTTCATCCAGGCTTACAGGATAATTAAAGGAATAGATCATTTCGAGTGTGGTAGGTTTTCCAGTTCGATGGCAGCAAGAGGACGAGAGCTAACAACTTAAGTTGCGCAAGCTCCAGGTGCAGCTCATGTCGAGACAGGAATTCTTTACTTGCAGAGTGGTGAACACGTGAAATGCGTTAGATGGCGAAGTAGTGGCTGCTCCTTCTGTGACTAACTTTAAGAGGAAACTAGATGCTGTCATGGACAGGCAAAAAGGTGGGGGGAGCAATGTTGAAGTTAGGTATTGATACTACGCAGTAAGCAAGTAGAATACGCAAAAAAAACTAAAAAATAGGAACATATTTAGCTCTAAGAGGATTTAGGTCAACTATAAAATTAAGGATCGCTCGACCTCGACGTATAATATTGAAATGGGTGTAATTGCCTCCTGATGTCACTAACCACCTTGATACCTTGATTAATTACATACACTGGCCTCCAAAAATGAGTCAATGTTCCGTAAATTTCTATTCAAAGTCGAATATCTCTGTCAATATTCACTCGAATCTCACAAAATTTTAATGTTATTATGCAACCTCTTTTACATACAATTCCAAAAATTCACCATGATCGATCAATTTGCGGCCAATATGCATGTCTTCATAGTCGCCGGGGGTGAGTCAATATTTTGGCAATCATTGGTGTTTGCGAAAAAATTATATAAAAGCAGCAATCTCGGCCTAGTCCTACTCCATCTCCTTTCTCCTTTCATCATTTTCTCTCTTTAGCTGCATTACGATGGTCAAAGCCATGTCCAAGCGTATTCAAGAACGCTTCAAGGAGCTTGCGTCTCAGCACAAATCAAGCCGACAAATTGGCGAAATTCTTTCGATTTCTCAGTCAACTGTAGTTCGGTACATCAATAAATATCGTACCAATGCACCCTTTGCTTCAAGAGGCCGTCCCCGTGTCCTGGACATGCAGGACGAAAAGTACAGGGTGTCCACATGAAAGCTCACCTATTTGTGTGGAGCATTACAAGGAAAGTAAACGAGATAGGATGAAGAGAGTGACACCAATAGAAAGAGGAACTCAAAGAATTTAAGATTTCAATTTCGCGCCAGCGTCAGTATCCCGGCGGTGGCGCTGCGAAACGCGGAAGTAAAAATGGCGTCCGACCAGCAGAAAGCGCAAGTTGTGGTGTGGTTCGCTACGCATGAATTGACATTCTCCGTGCAACGAAAGGTGCGCACGTAGAGGTGTACTGATTTTTTGCAATAAATTCTATGAGTTGCTCTTTCTATTAGTGTCACTCTCTTCATCCTATCTCGTTTACTTTCCTTGTAATGGTCCACACAAATAAGTGAGCTTTCATGTGGACACCCTGTACATCTGCAGACTGGCCACTACAGGAAAGTGTTCCACCGCCATCACCATCCAACGCGAGCTCAAGATCTATGCAGGAATAGCCGTCTCTGCCAACATGATCCTGCGCATTTCGAGACGAAACCAAATCAAATCGCGACACAAGCAAACGCGCCCACAACTGCTGAGATCTCATCGGAATGCTCGGATGTCGTTTGAACGAGCCCATCGCTCATGGACAGATCGGGACCGACTGGGACCGACTGGGACAAGATCATCTGGGCTGATGAAACAAAAATATGCATTTCTGCATCGAATGGCAGAGAAAGAACCTTTCGAAAAGATGGCGAACCACACCGGGATCACCAGGTCATGCCGACAAGAAAGTTTGGTGGCGGCTCGATCATGGTGTGGGGCTGCATGCTCTCCTGTGGCGTGGGATATCTCTGTCGCATCGATGGTGACGTCCATGCTGACATGTACACCCACATTTTGGAGGATGAGCTCATGGAAACAATATGTTGGTACGGCCTGAAAAAAGACGAGACTGTCTTCCAACAAGACAACGCCTCCTGCCACACTGCATCTCGTGTAAAGGAATGGTTCCAGCACAACAAAATCAAGGTGATGACGTGGCCAGCGCAATCTCCGGACCTCAATCCTATCGAGCACTTGTGGGATCATATCAGGCGTAGGCTCAGAAACTTGCCTTCTGCTGGAAATACCGATCAAATTTGGGACCAAATGCAAGACATCTGGAATTCCATTGACCGTGAAACATGCCTTTGTCTGGTGAGATCGATGCCCAAATGTCTTGAGGCCGTCAGAAAGGCGAAGGGTGGCTACATAGATTTTAGTTTTTGGAATCATTGAAATTTGCCAAAATTTCGACTCATCCCACTTTGACTTTGGATGGAGATATTTTTGTCAATAAATCATTAATTTCCATGATTCTTTTTTAAATTAAAGCTATACAATAGGACTACAATTGACATGAATTGCATTGACTTAGTCGAATATTGGAAGATATATTTTGGGTTAAACACGAAAACCCGACCCATTGACTCACTTTTGGAGGCCAGCGTATTTTCAGGAAGATAATCTAAATCACAGCAAAAGCACTCCGTCACATCCCGTCCACTCCTGAAGAGCAATATTTTAACGCCTGGAACGATGTCAACGTTTCAAATAAAAACCCTCATTATGGACCCCACTGCACAACCTTTCACAACAAACCATGAAACACATTGTTCCATTGTCCAAAGAGATAATTCACAGCATTTTCATTATTTATTCATTCAATCTCACCAGCATCTCTAGCTTGGATTTCAAACTAAGGCATTGCCATCCAATTTCTTACGCAAATACAATCCATACAGGACAGCCAACTACCTCTTGAAAAAAATGACACTTGCATCTCCTCTTCTAATGATTTAGAATTTACCAACCGTTTCTTATGCATATGTAGTAGTTCCCATTCCCCTTATTATTATTCTATACCTTTTGCGGTACATGTTTTGAGCACGTTTTGCATGCAACAAGCATAGTTTCCAAATATCATAAAATTCGTTGAACTTCTTTCGATGTTGGTTTTTTGAATCTGTGTGTAGGCTTACTTTCCATTTCTTCAAGAATTATTTCGGAACATTCTTCCTAGACTCAATGCGTGATCGACATGATAGCACCCAAAGTCTTCCTTCAGCAACTCAACAATCTCATCAGAGCCAAGACGATGGCCCTGAATTACGGTAAGTTATACAAATGACTTATTCATCATAAAATAGATTTGTTATTTGGGCAAACAAACTCACAACATTTGTGTATTCGGCACTTGAGAAAGTAAATACAGGGTGACCATGAAGTGACTATATATAGACGACTTTTTCAATATTGACCCTGAATTAGCCATTTTTTTTAGCTTTCGTAGACTGATGAAGTACCGACCTCGTATGATACATTTTTTCATGAGTTGATCTCATGAGCTGAGAATGAAGCGGTGGTTGGCAGGTATTGATCGATGTGGTGGGATATGCAGATATCTTTTCCGGACAACCCTGAATTAACAGGATGGCGCATGGATGGCATGCTTCTTCAAGGCATTCTCTCCTCGGGCCTAATCGAGATGGTTCGAGGATCTCCAGATTGGCCTAACGTTCCACGTCCCACTGAAATGGTTCATGAAACGCGAAACGGGTCCCCAATCGGTCAAACGTTACACGTCCTCTCTGAAATAGTTCGTGAAAATATCAATAGGCCTGCGATTGGTCAAATGTTACGCGTCCGCCAAGAGAAGTCTCGAAGACCAGGAATTTATCATTATAGGCCTAATTTGTGAATCGAGAATTGAGTTTCTTTGGAAAAGAAAAAGCCAGGCTTTGGCGTAACCTGAAGGTAGTCTGTTGCTTAGGCCTAAGCTTAACTTTAGTGAGTGCCGTTAAGAGAGTTGATGAAAGGGAGTCATTGAAAATAGATTTCCACATTACTTCACTTGCATTATTAACTGCATTGAGAGCGATAGCAAAGTCAGCACCGTTATGAACAATCCACTCCTCCAGAATCGTGGTCCAGTGGATGGAGGCTGGACGATGCATCTAAACAATCATTCCATTCAAATCGGACAAATGAATCAAAATGTCAAATCCAACGCGCGATCCCACAGTTGACGAAGCCACAAAGAGTACACCCTAAAGTACACAGAATTCTGTGCTTTGATTACATTGTCTGAAGTCATGCAACATCGCAATTTTGAATTTAAAGCAGCCAATACGGCCATATCTCTACCCTTAACTGTTTCTTTTTATGTTTTCTTGAAGATGATACTTAGGCAAGAGCTGAAAATCTAGGTAGATGTGACATATGATGCTTTCTGTCAATGGAGTCATCTGATCCACAGTTACCAATGCAAAAGAATGCGACGCCTTGAAGATGGATAGATTTTCACGTGTAAAATGATTCGTAAAAATTTCAATTTTGATTGTCACTACTTAGCTTCAGCTTCTTGTGCAAATGCTGATGTTTCCTCCTAGCTACGAGATAGTATTCCAATCTATCAAAATAGGACTCGGACGATAAACTGCATCGGTGCAATATCCATTGGCTGTGCAACTTCCGTAACGGGAGTCACGAGTGGCGCAAGTCTCAGTGATATTTTTTCTTATTCTACATACAGTAGATTGCTTGCGTACGTGAACAGAAAATGGCAATAAAGTGCTGGTGAGACGATGAAACGGATGGGGAAGCAGAAGCAAGAAGGGAAGTAAGATGAAATTATGATGTAGTGGAATACGTCGTTGACCAAAAAAGGTGAGCCACTCGAGATTTTTCAATGAAGCGCATATTTTTGAATGGATTGACTTCAATATCTATTGCAACATTGCCTAGTATATACTACAATATTTATTAAAATTTCATATGATTCCAATTTGCCATTCTTTAGTCATGGCAGATTTTGTTTAATTAAATGCTGAGTGAAAGGGATTGATACTGCCAATGCGAGTCTCGAATCCACGTTTGAATTTTGCTTTTAGGAAATCCGTTCCTGAGCGATCATAGTGAAAATTTCACAGTATGTTGCGAAAAGTGTGGTTTCCACTATCTGAAAATTTACTAGCATTCATATAATGAAATTCAACATAAATGTGTGCCTTGCAGCGGCAGTGGCCTGCTTGTAAATCCATGATGTTGACAATTTCAAAGAAACCTGCCATGACTGAAGAATGAAACTTCACATGCACAGACATTTTAAGAAGCTTTTGAAAAGCAAATTAAATAACGTTCCATTGCATTTTTAAGTCAGTCCGTTAAATAAAATGAGGATTTTATTGAAATTTTTCGAGTGGCTTACTTTTCTTTGGTCAACCCTATACATACTACTAGCATCATACTCACTTTGGAGTTTGAGGCGAAGTTCGAGTTGCTTCAATGATCGATGACTGGTCTTGTTCTCATCATTTGTTCATTCTTCCCTTCTTGCTTCAGCTTTTCTTCCTTCGTTTCTGCCTTTCAGCTACTCTTTCTTGCATTTTTGACTCATTAACACACCTGATCAATGCAGAGGAAGAAAATCAACACTGCGACTCATGTCACTGGTGTGTCACATTGCAAAAATTTCAAAGGAACCGATGCAATTAACGGTCCGAGTCCTAAGGTGATGGATTGGAATCCTGTAGAGCAAAGAGGAATCAATGGCATTTGCCCATGAAAGCAAAGACAGAGTAATGGCAGTTAAAATGGCTATTTTTGTGACTCATATGACAAGTGAAACCTAGTAATTTTCAAGACGTCGCAGAAGATTCGTTTCCATTGGTACTTGAGGATGAGACTACATCCTTGACAGAAAACATCATGTCACACAGCCAGATTATAGCACTTGCCAAAGAACATCTTAAAATACATTTTAATAAAACAGTGTATACTCTGAAGAATCAGGATTTGGTCATTTCGGTTTCTTTTTTCAACTTCAAAATGGCGATACTGCATGACATTCCAGCCAGGATGTTCAAAAGCACAAATTATATCATATCTGATGCACTCTATACAAATTTGTAAAATACAAATTCAATTATATTCCCATGTTATGCAAATGTAAGAAGGCAATCCCCATTATGTTACACCTTGTACACCTGTCCCATTTCACTTTCATGTTGAAAGTTCTTTCCCATAAAATCCGACATCCACACGGCAACGCATTCGGTTTTCCTTGTGGCGCTTTCGATGCTCCCATACAGAATGGCGACATTGCGACAATATGGCTTCACTTGCCGTATATGACTTTTCCCCCCATATTTAATAATAAAAAACCCTATAATAGTTTCCATTCTTCATAGACGACCGTTGGAAAAAGATCCCAAATGATCCTATGAGATTCTTGAAAAATAAAAACATAGATTATTTTGGGATCCTATAGGAATCCTACACGATTTTTATTTTTAAAAAATCTTATGAAATCCTATTGGATTTTTCTGTAAGGGTAGCTAGACTTTTCGTTTTCTTTGGGATAACTTAGTCCGCGTGTTACATGCATTTTTATGTTGTAGCCCTTCAGAGTCAGTGGGAGACCTGGAGACCAATAGCGGAATTACTTCTCCGCCGACAATATCTGTAAGTGAACCCATGTTATATATCTTACTAGTATGTTTGGATCCTTCGGGGAAAAAACTCGCACTTCGACACTCACACCCTAAGTCGTGTAAATAAATCAATCTTACTTATGTTTTCTTCTGAAGTATTGTTAGTTTCAGTGCTGGGACCTCAAGGGCTTTTCAGGATTATCAATATTGAATAACGAAGATTGTTACCCTCCCTTGAAATATACCTCTTACAATATACCTCATTTAATCCAGTACTTTTCATAGCAAAATTATTAAAATTAGATATACCAAACCAACATTTTACAGGTTACTTCTACCCCTTTCCCCTTCCCAATTAAGAGCTCCGAGTGAGTGCGAACCCTACTTCTAATATATTCCCTGAAAACTTCCAAAAATCGGTTTCTACCAAAATTAAGCTTTAAATAGAGGCCCATGAGCAGTCCACGAGCGAAGGAATGTGCAGGAGAATCTCTCCCAAGTGATTGGGCTTCAGAGGGGATGCGGTTTTAAAGTTTTTTTCCTGAAATAAGAAATGCAAGAACTACTTGTCCTAATCAACTCCCATCAATTACAAAGAAGCGACTATTCGGGTAAAAATGCAGTTTTATGCACACAATAGTTAACTACTCCTGGATATACAACAGCCATCAGAAATGGAATAGTGTCACTTATCAATATAATCTCCATTTCTGGAGACACATTTTCTCACCAACGTTTTCAGTTACCTAACCCATTTACAAAAAAGTCCCACCAGACACTTTGACCAAGCGCTAGACAGAAGCCTTAAATAGCTGCATCGGTAGAGGAATTCTGGACACAGAGGTAGTCATTCAAGGTTATAGGACATGAAAATATGAAGTATAGGGGTAAAGGGAAGCTAAGGAAGCACATATTTTTGCTTTGATTACCTCAGTTCTTGCATGAGCAGAAGCCGGTCTTTCATTACCATGGTGCTTAATGATGTGCTCCACAGTGAGCGTTTGCGCGAAATAGCTGCAGTCAGGTAGTTCCTTCTGCTTGCCTTCTGATATCGTGTAAAGGTTAGTGATTGCCTCTTTCGGCAGAAAATCAAAGAGTATGACACTGCTAGCGTTCCTTTCCCGAGCCCACAGTTTCACCTTTGCATAGCTGAGTCTAGTTTTACAATGGTGCATTCTGCAGTCGAACCTTATTATTTCCGGGGCTTACACCCACTTTGGTGAGAAACTATATCATAACTCTTTTGTTTAACACGATATCCATGGTAGTGGTAATTTGCAATGGCTAACATATGAAAATGAACTAAGGTGTTACCGTGTATAGAAACAACAGGAGCTGTCCCCGGACCGCTTCTGCTTCTCGTCTATATTAACGAATTAGATCTAGGCTTAGAAGGAAAAATGAATAAATTTACCAACAACACGAACATTTGATTTTTCTGTGAGGGGAGAAGCGAAGAGGGCAAGGTCCGTGCGATATTTGAGGCTTTTGGATGAGTGGAGCAAGAAATGGCTCATGTGATTATATATAAGTGAGTGTAAAGTTCTCCACGTCGGACAAAACGACAGGTTTCTCAAAGCTTTTGGACTAGATAACATGGGGAAGCAAACGAAAAAAAAGAGATTTAGGGGTTTCTATCAACAAATACCTCAAGTTTTCCCCGCACGCACAAGCGACGGTGGCTATAGATAACAGGATTCTAGGATTCATCCGTTGCTCCATTGTCAGGAACTCGCGCGTTATTCTTCCGTAGTATGCGGGATTGGTAAGACAGTTGGAATATTGCATCCGGCTTTGGAGGCTTACAGACGAAGGTGAATTGATGGCGACGGAGATGATACAGAGGACGGACACAAGAATAAGCAAGGAGGTTGAGGGACGTCCGTACGAGAAGCGTTTAGAAGTGTTGGTATTGTACAAGCGCAAGAGAAGGTTAAGGATGGGCTATCTCATCTAGGCTCTTAAGATAAAGGAATGGGTAACGTCGAGCGTGGCAAGTTTTCAATTTGATGACAGCAAGAGAACGAGAGGTACTCAACTCAAGTTGCATAATCCACAGGTGCGGCTCAGGTCGAGACAGAACTTTTTTACTTGTAGAGTGGTGAACTCGTGAAATGCTATAGACGACGACTCAGTGACTACCACTTACGTGAATATTTTTAAAGAAGAGACTAGATGCTTTCATGGAAATAGCAAAAACGAGGGCAATGTAGACGAAAGGGACTTGGCAGTAGGCAACTAGGCTACGCTAAAAAACGATAATTCTTAATTCTTAATAATTAACCCAGTTGGCGCTTGTGCGGCACCGCCACTTCGCTGCCGCCTGCCGTGCGTGCGCCTGTCTGCGTGGATGTAAAAGACAAGCAACAGCGCTGCCTCCACCTTTTTTTTTTGTCCTTCACCTAAAAGCCTCTGTCTCTCACTCACTGTCAGTGCCCGCTGCAAGCTCCCTGCCTCTGTTTTTTCACATGGATCTGTTGCAGTGGTGTAACATCTCAAATACATTTGGTATGTGTATTTCACTGTTGTTTCCTTGCTGAGGAAAGAGGAAGACAATGGTGTCAGAAGTGGGATAGCAATGCGCCGATTTGTTCACCGCGCATCAATGCTAGAGACCAGCGCCCAAAGGCCAGACGACCCCCTCTTCATCCGCCGTCGCCCTTGTCGAGGGAAAGTAAGCCCGCAGCTACGGCTTCCATCACTCTCCAAGCGGTTCGAGGAGTACTCACCGTATTACAACCTGGTGCTCGGGGATACGGTTCCTCCCCTGTTAAAACTGCATCTNAGCCGCTCCCTCTTCAGTCGAGTTAACGGCTGCAAATGAGACCAAAATCAAAGTTTATGGCGGTATTACAACGACTGTCACGTTTCCTCAGCTTCGTCGCAGTTTCGAGGTTGAATTCACAGTTGCAGATGTCCGAGAACCGATCCTAGGAGCCGATTTCTTCAAACGCAATCCACTGCTCATCGATGTCTCGCGCAGATGTCTTGTTGATTCAGAAACCCATCTCNCCTCAGCTTCGTCGCAGTTTCGAGGTTGAATTCACAGTTGCAGATGTCCGAGAACCGATCCAAGGAGCCGATTTCTTCAAACACAATCCACTGCTCATCGATGTCTCGCGCAGATGTCTTGTTGATTCAGAAACCCATCTCTCCGTCAAAGTAGCTGAAAGTAAAAATGTCGTGCTACATATCCGCGCAAAGCACCTGACGATTTGATCTCCAGTGTGCTGGCCAAAAACTCAGTAGTGTTTGATGTTACCGCGCCTCGTCCAACACCAACTATCAGTTTCAGCATCAAAACTACGGGTGTTCCAAAGCCTGTGCGAGCCTACCGTCTCATTCCTGACAAAGCGCAAGCAGCTATGGAAGAGATTGCCAACGAGATTCGTCTTGGCCGCATGGTGAGATCCTTTTCAGAGTATGCCTCACCATTCTTTCCTGTCAAAAAGCCTGATGGTAGTTCGCGCTTCGTCGCTGATTACACTCAACTCTACAGTGTCACAAAGACAACTACACGCCGCCACGCATCGAGGACTTGCTATCACGTATCCCATCAGACTGCGTCTTCTCCAAACTTGATCTACAAAAGGCATTCTTTCAGATTCCGATCGCCAAAGAGGATCAGCCAAAAACAGCAGTCATAACTCCCTTTGGGACATCAAACATATAACGAACATATAACGGGTATACTTGGGACAGACATACTCGTATAACGAACTCGAAGGGACGGGCTAAAAAAAATTCGTTATGAGGAAAATCCGTCACAGGGAATTTCCCTCACTTCGCTGAAAAATAAGATCTGTTGAACTTATGTCTATAATGCTTCAAAATGTCACCTCCTGTAAAAAAAAGTGCGAAGGTTTAAACCTAAACGCTTGTAAATTCCAAACGGTTATCTCCTTCCTGGACAATTATTTGAGCCGTGGTCTGCAGAGAACTCAATGTTTGAAAAGTTTCAGGCTCAACATTCTACTTCTGACTGAAAAACAGCTGAAGAGAGTCGAAGTCTTCGATTGCCTGACAAAGTAGTACTCGTATATCAGCATGATGAGAAAAGTTAGTCTGGAATGGGTATGTAATGGTGTTTGCTGAGGTTAATATTATTCAAGAAAAGAAAAGGAGTTTACTTTAAAGCTCTCACCATCACAGTGATTATGAAAAGAAAAACCTAGAAATGGGGTGGTTAGAGCTTGGTGAATCCTACTGTGGGCTTCAGCACAATATTGTTATGGTTATACTCTTTCCAGTCTATTGTTAGTGGAAGACTTGTGAGGATGTTGATGTTCTGTATTGTATAGGTTTAAGACAGCTATGTTTGCTCTTAACATTTAGGCCTAGGGAGCTGCTTAATAGGACTATGCTACTTTAAGTACAATGCTGCAGTGGTAATGGTTGGAAAATTTGTTTCCCGAAATCTGAAGACCTTCTAAGAACTTGCAAGAACTTTGAAGGTACTCCTGTGATATCAGTAATGATATTACCAAGATCTTCAATGACTGCATCCAGAGTGAGTGCTTCCATCTTATATGATTCCGGCATATGCTGGCAAGATGAATTACTGATATCACAGGAGCACCTTCAAACTTCTTGCAAGTTCCTAGAAAGTTCGGAAAAAATGTTTTCCAACCATTACCACAGCTGGTACTTAAAGTAGCATAGTCCGATTAAGCAGATTCTTAGGTTTAAAGGTTAACAGCAAATTTAATTCTCTTAAACCAATACAAAACAGCGAATCAACATCCTCACAAGGCATCCACTCAGAATAGACTAGGAAGAGTATAACCATCAGGGGCCCACCTAAACGTGGGTGGCAGGGATATCATTACCTCATCACAGGTAGAAGATTCAGTCCCAACTATACATCTTTACATAGAATGCAATTCTTGAAAACGAGTCCTTTTCATGGAGACATGAAATTCCTGTTTCATTTCCTCCTTTCACTCTTTATCGATTATCAGGACGTTGATGGAAGACAAATGGAGTGGCTGAAGGGGAACTCCATTCTTCGTGATGATGGAAAGGAAGGCGTTGACTTGTATGATGTGCAAATGAAGACAGTCTTCAAGGAGAATGGCTTGGAGAAATGTGTCATTGGTAGGGACCATAAAGACGCCGCCTATAGCGCTACAAGATATATCCTTGTCGTTGGTAACACAGGGGCAGGTTAGTAACTCAGTTGCTACTAAGAAAGGGATATTTTAGCCATGTACTATGTTCAACCTGGATGTTGATGTAATGTATCTAATGGGATACACCAATTTTCTTCGCATCACCATACATCCAACCTTGAACCATCAACATTGCTATTGAATGTTCGCCATCATTGAGGGATCTCACTTATCAATCAGAAACCTGGCTTTAATTGACTTTCAGTTGATGAATGCGAATGCCTTGGAAAACAGTATAAAGGGTGTCCCAGAATTATAATCACCTGTAGCATAAGATCTTTTTGTCTAAACCTTTCTCCAATGACTGTTTCCTTTGTGGCAATACTAATTTGCTCATGCCCTGTTTTCTTCATATCAGCGTAGTAACGAAACTTTTGGTGAAATTTGAGTGTTTCATTTTGAGAAACATTTAGCAGATTTCAGCCCCCAGATTCAATATACGACAAGCAATCTTGGATATATTGTATTTGGGCGGATTAAAACATGAATTGAGTTTCTCGATTCCATTTCTGAGCAAAGGAAAAGTAATTCATTAGGTTCCTCAACTTCCCAAGTTTGAGGATAGGCTGCGTTTTTGTGAGAGTAAGAATTCCTGCTTAAGAGAAATAATATCCTCCAGAGGGGTACATTTTTATTTCATGTGTCCTAAATTTGATTCAACTGCAGGGAAAAGTTCCTTTGTGAATGCCCTCTTCAACTACGCTGTTGGTGTCACCTATGATGATGACTTCAGGTTTATCATCGCTTCCTCGCCGAACGAAACTAATCAAGAGGAAAGTCAAACCAAGACTGTGACAGCGTACTCGTTGGGAATGCAAGATATCAAAGGTTCTCGTTTTCGCTGGGCCCTCACAATCGTAGATACTCCTGGGTTCGGAGATACAGGGGGGATCGAAGAGGATAGGAGCAATTGGCAGAAAATTAGGAAGTTGTTCGAAAATGGTACGCTTGGACTGAATCGGCTCCATGTGATCGTTTTTGTGGTTCCGGCCACTCAAGTTCGAATCAATGCCAGAGAGGAAACGCTATACTCAGAAATTACTGCCATGTTTGGAAAAGACTTTGTGAAACACAACTTTCACATTCTTGTCACGTGGGCACTTCTTCAAAGGAGAAGGCCACAAGTCATAGCAAGCCTGGAGGCTGCCGGTGTTCCTACAAATAAGTACTTCATTGTCGAACTGGGAACATTTATGGAAAAGACCGATAAAAAGGCATGGGAAGTGCAACAAAAAACATTGAAGAACTTTTGCGACTGCTTAGAAGAAGGTCTGAAGCCAGTTAGCCTTCAGCTCACGAAGGAAAATTTGGAAAATCTGGACAACATCGAAAACAACTTGCGTCAATTGAAGATCTTGTTGAAAGGTATGTTGCCAACATTTGGATCTGAATTTAAGTATATTTTTCCATTAAGGCCAACAACTAATTATAACTTATGTATGTATTGGAGAGATGGATTAGGGATTGATGACTTCCAAAGGATTTTGTCCTCAGCCTGTAAGAAGGTCGTTTCTTCAATAAAAATATGAATCAGGGCTCCCTTTAATCAAATGAGGTTAAAGTGTTATTAAATGAGCGAGTTTGTTAGACCTTCGGGCAAACAGACTCGAAATGGTCGCGCCTTCGGCGCTCAATTATCTAGGACAATGGTTAAATCATTGAAAGATCTGTTTTGACGAATCTTCGAAGATTCTGGGTTTATAGGCATTTTTATTGCCCAGTCAAGTTACTTCCCTTCATGTGACACCACTGGCAAACTAATAAACGGAGATCTTTATCATCCCGAAATAGCTGTATCGAAAGGTACCGCTGCACAGTATTTTAATCATCTCCACCCGATCGAATCGTTTTGGGATAAACACTTCTTGGAAGGGTGCTACATTAATTTGCATGCCGCATTGAAATGCAACTGAAAAAGCAGGAAGTTCCTTGGGCTAATCATTTCAAGATGATGACGGAATTTCAGTTTTCTACATCTGGCCCATTTTAGGAACAACAAGTACCATGGAAATTGTCTCCCCAATAATGACGCCCCAAAAATGAACTCTCGCGATATGAGAGTTCTCTTCAAAATAATCCATCTGAACAGGTACCTTTGTGCCAAGTTTCAGTTTTTGTCTCTCTGTTGCGTGAGAGCGAAACATTTGCAGGATGGGTACATCCCAGTCATTCCCAACCCAGACGACATTTTGTTACGACGAGGTTACTTCCCCCCCCCCCCATGAAACCAGGTCCCCTGCTGAGCGAACTCCCTTATCACCTGTCCCATCTCTCTCTGACCTACTGTCGGGGGCAATAAGTACTCCGAAGTTTTTGGACTTTGAACGCCCTGGTTGAGCGAAAGGTAATGTAATGTCTACTGTAAGTTAATAATTTCATCATACTAGTAGTAGGTAGCCCGTGCAAAAGCACGGAAGTATTTAAAGGCGCAGGATGCGCACATGGCCATGGTCACCACACTCCCGCCCTCCTGATTTCTGGCTGGCTGTGTGAGAAGACAGGACGCGGCAAAACCCCCTAATTTCTCTTTCTGCCCCTGCGCTTTATTAATCGTCATTGCGAAGGACCGGGCCGCCAGAACGCGGAGCGAAGACGAAAGGCAACACAAATACCCCGTTTTACACGTCGCTGCGGAAAAGACCGTGTCGGACCCCTCTAAGTAGAGAGCGGGAGGTGTGCGTAGAATTCCTCTCTCTCCCGTTGATATGTAAGGGATGCCTGGGTATATGACTGAGCGTCTTGGGTTCGGTGGCGTAGTGGTAGCATACTTCAGTGGAAACCAGGAAGCCATGGATTCAATTCCCACCCTCCGTCATTTTCCTTTCGTCCCCTTATGTCATTCGAACTATGAACCCCCCCCCCCCCCCAAGCTATAACGTTCTCGAGAATAGATCAGGTCAGTTGCAACGGCCGGGAAAGAAAGCGAGCCCGAGAGTGGGAGACGTACACCCACAGAAGACAGAAGACTCTATGGGGAGAGCATTCGTGATGGCGCTGAGCGCACGCGTGTGTCATGTGTGCGCGCGCATGCCATCGACCACCGCCGCCGCCACCACGGACCACAGTGGATTTTATTATACAGACTAGCGGCCTGCGACCGCTATACTGGCCGTCTAATAGGTGACAATTTAAATCGTCTATTGTCAGCATAACGTCTCATTGACAATCCTTTCCTCATTGCATTACCCATTCGGAACTGAACCGCTTCATTACATTTATACACATTTAGCTTACAGAAACAGAGAGATTCTGTTCCTAAACACCATCATGATGTTCGAGCTCATTGCCACAATCGCCATTGTGAACGCCTCAGTTTAGCACGTTTTCATGAGACTCAATACGACTTTGCTGATTTCGTCTTCCTGGCACATTCAACACACTTCCATCACCGATTAGTGCATGGGCTATTAGCGTTAGCGTATGGTACAGACTAATGATTCTGAAATAGTACGGACCATTTCCAAGAACTTGTTCGACGCCACAGGGGGAAGTTATTGCATGTGCGGCACAATGCTATCGACTAATTCTTGAAAATGCCTCGCCGCGACATTATCACCAGTGAAAAACAGTGTGAATGTCAAGTGTGAGTTGCAGCAAGGATCATTTTTCCGTTACGCCAGCAATGAGAAACAAATGCCCCTCCCCACATCAAAATGTACAACCTGACAGTGCTCGCTGCAGCAAACGACTGTAGTGATGGAGATGACATGGAGAGGCATAACATCCTGAGTCCCGTGGTGTAATGGTAGCACACATAACCGGCAAGCAGGAGGTCTGGGTTCAATTTCCGGCCGCCCCCGGCTTACGACACCTCAATGCTGCGTTCCTGGCAATAACTTGCTCAGCAGGCTGCACGGCTCTCCTAATCCGGAGATCAGCATACGCTCCCTCTTTCTGTTCAGCGGTCTGAGCGGCCCAACGCTTCCGACGTACATCTACTTGCTGTTCATCACTGATTCTAACCATTACGGCTTCCACCGATTTAGGCACTTCGCATCGCAACTGCAGAGGCAACCGATGTTTCCGCGCCTGTTCCAACCTTTTTCTACCAGCAACAACTGCCTCATCGCCGTCCTGTACGAGGGCCACTCAATAAGTTATCTACCTGAATATGAAAGAGATGAGGAACAGGCCTGTGCCTGCTGTGACATGTCTCGACAGGTCTCGTGAGTGTCCCACCACTATACCAGCTCAATGGCTCAAGTCCGTTCAAAGTGGTAGCGCATTAGATTTCTTTTCCTGAGTCTGTGTCATGGATTTGACGAAAGTTGAACATCGTTCAGTGATGAAATTCCTCACCAAAGGGAAAGCACCTAAGGAGATTCACAAACGTATGTCTAACGTTTATGGTGTGTCTTCGCCTTCTTATTACCAGGTTAAATTTTGGAGCAAGCAGTTTAAGTGGGGAAGAGAGTCGATTGAAAATGACCCAAGGTCAGAAGCCTCCACAGGGCGCCCCGCCCTGTGGAGGCTTCTGATCAGGAAATGTGTGACAAATTGGAGAGTGCGATACTGGAGGATCGTCGCACCAAAGTCTCTGTTTTAGCTCATGAACTGGGCATTTCAGAGGGCACAATGATTCACATTATTCGCGAAAAATTCCACATGTCCAAAGTCAGTTCTCGATGGGTTCCAAGAATGCTGACTCCAGCTCGGAAGAAGAACAGATCTGACATCTGCTAGGAAAACTTGGAGTTTTCTGAACAAATCGGGGAAACTTCTTTTCCCAGAATAGTAACTGATGATGAAACTTGGGTTCATCACTGGGATCCCGAAACCAAGCAGGAGTCCATGCAGTGGAAGCACGAAGGATCGCCAACGCCTCGCAAATTTCGTGTTCAGAAATCGACAGGAAAGATTCTGGCCACTGTGTTTTGGGACGGCGAGGGACTACTGCTGCTTGAGTTCATGCCAGACGAGTGTACAATCACTGGCGATTCCTATGCTACCACGATGAAAAATTTACATGATGCCATCAAGGAAAAACGCAGAGGAATGTTGTCAAGGGGGGTCCTTCTTCTCCATGACAACGCGCCCGTCCACAAATCATGGAAAGTTCAGGCAGCAGTGAGGGAGTGTGGCTTTCAGGAGCTCAACCATCCTCCCTCCAGCCCGGATCTGGCTCCTAGTGCCTATTTTCTGTTCAGACACTTGAAAAAATTTTTGCGGGGAAAAAGATTTGCATGCAATGAAGAGCTGAAAGTTGCCGTTTCTGATTGGTTTGATGGACAAGAAGTTGACTTCTATTCCCAAGGAATAAAATCCTTGGAATCAAAGTGGAATAAGTGTGTTGAGTTAAAATTTGACTACATTGAAAAATAGTGTTATTTTTCCCCTCGGATGTTTCTTTCTTATTCAGGTAGGTAACTTATTGAGTGACCCTCGTGTGTCCAATATACAAATATTATCAATCTTATATTTTTTCCTCGAATGCACAAATAATACGTTCTCCCTCCTAAAACGGTGGAATGTATCTTGTAATCACCCTCGGTAACTGGGTCAACGAAAGCGCCCTCTATCGGGATACAGCGCAATTTTTAGAAGTGAAAAAAACCTCTTACACTCGTGAACCTCTTTGTCATGTATCAGCTGGATCCAATTGTCCCTTGAAAAATGAAAGTTGAAAAGTTCATTGAATCGGTCGAGCACAGGTCATCACCGCATTTGAGGTGGAATGCTCCACCTCTAAGCATCTTTAATTCAAATCTAAATGGTACTTGCACAGTTTAGGCAAGAATGTTGAAAAGAAGATGGCAAGCATTTCAACACCTTGTAAAAGTCACATATCCAATGCCCTTTTTTTCGCTGAATTTATAAAACTGTGTCTCTCCCGTAGAAAGCGCTTGAGCGTAAAAAAATTGGTGGGATATATAATCTACGTAAGCTTCGCTAAAGGCAAACTCAGACTATGGTTCAGAAACGACCTTTCTTTAATATTTTCATGTGTCAAAGGTAGTGACGATTATTGTTACTGGACGTTGCTAAAGTTTCCAAAATATTGCAGTGTGAAATGGTACGTATAGTGACTTATGGGAGACCCGGTATGAATGCATGGAAAACTCTTTAGGCTCAATTGATGTATTAAAATGCAGTAGTATTTAGAAACTGGTGAGGTTTGTGTAAGGTATATGCTTCCACTTCCTCCAACTGCTACTTCCTCATGGAATATATGTATTTCTTTCACAGAGCGGGATAAGGAAGAGGAGAAACATGGGATGATAGTTAGGCTACATGATGCATTCAAAGGACACAAACGGGCAGCCATTCAACCCTATATGCCATATGTCAGAGAATTCTTCGAGATCATGTCTGAGGACTCAGGAGTGAAAAGTAAATCGAAAAAGAGCGAATTAGGATTCAGCACTTACGAGGAGGGATTGGAGAAAATGCGAAAGCGATATCTGCAGGAATCACAGAAGAAAAAAAGCTGGTGGGAACGTTTCCTGGGTCGCACTTAAAAAAATTCCCACCTTTCTCAAAATTATTCAGGGAATATCTGAATCTTGGTCCTCCTCTAGGATGCATACAATGCTCATCATTCGGAACAATTTGAGAAGTGAACACATTTTGAATGTGAAGTGACGTGAGATTTCCTAGTGAATTACCTCGTCTAAAGAAACCTAGTTATGTTTGGCCATGTTTTCTTGATTAGGCTTCCTGAATCATTCTGTTGTACTTTTGTATATAGCGAGTGGCTCCCAAAAAGTTCTGAAATTCGTGCGGCTGTAGACGAGACACCATGCTAAGCATCGTCTTGAAATTTTCTGTGTCATACCCAATATAGGTAGGTCACTTTAGGAAAATTTCATTGAAATTCTTTGCTCTGAACATGAGTAAGTGTTCTTTCCGTACAAGTCGTCAAATGAGCAAGTGTCAGTGAGTTTGCTGGCGTGCAGCTTTGGCAGGCGATCCAAGGAGGACACATCCATGAAGCAGTTCTTTCATTGAGTTCAGGTGCATTTCTTTGCACATTCACTCATTGCGGGGGAGAAAAATTATGACTCACATAGTTTAAAACTAATCTCAATTAAGCTTTTTGTTACGTTACCTGCAAATATTGCATGTAAAAGCATGTAAATTTCTGTCGATGACTCATAGTATTCCGTCTGCAGGCGTGTAAAGTTCAGTACTTTTTTGGGTCACCTGGTATTTCTTATGAATTAGTTCATGTGAAGCATCCATACCCTAGAGTTGGAATTATTACTGGAAACCGTAATTTTTCTCGTTTCTTATGAAATTCTATTTCACATGCCACTTTTCTTCGAATATTATTCGAAAACAAAGATACGCCTATTATGCATTGGTCACTCCATTCGTTATTTCGAATTCATGTTTAAGCCCGTTTAAACAAGATTACATGATTAACAGAATATTCTTTGCTAATATTTGAGGTGCAACTAATCCCTCACTTTAATTCATTAAGAGTTAGAGGTGGTGTCAGGACACATCATTCCAAGAGTGGACTGCATCAGCATCAACTGATAATTGGCATAATATAGTGCAAAGTAAACTTCCTCATGGTGTGGGACCTTTGGAAGCTCAGGCCACAACTACGGTTGTGGATTAAAGTAACTCCGAAGAATACATGGATTTCCACATGTCAATGCAATTAAATGTATGTGTGCAAGGAACGTTCGAATTTTGAGGGGAATCCAGTTGAACTATGAGGGTCGACTGGCCAAGTCTCATTGGAACAGATTGGTTTTCCCTTACAGCCTAAACACGACAACGGATCAAGCACTTCATATGAGGAGTGTTCAATGGCTGGAGATTTCACAAGGGAACTTCACAAAGGCGAAAATCAAACATATAATTCAGAGCCTTTGAGGAGCAAAAATAGATCTTCTTTCATTAAATCTTGGATCCGCAAGTAGGTTGTACCCTAAGTCGCATAGAGAAGCTCTTCCATCGCTGTTTCTTAATATATACAACATATCTTCAGCATAACCTCAACATTATCTCTTCAACATCCATTCAACATCTGATCCACACAAGCGCAATATGTCAATAAAAATGATTATTTGCTCCTTACATACCAATCTCATTCGCCTCATGCGCACTAATTGATGAACCTTAGCAATAGACATGCATCAATGGTCGGCAACCTACGGTCCGCGGGCCGGATGGGGCCCGCGAAGAGATTTCATCCGGCCCGCTACGACCTTGGTCGGGCTGCGCTAAATTTTTCTTAGATGAATCCATGACACCTGGACAAATTTATCTCTTCCTCACAGCAGCCTCGTTTATCGTTGGAAAGGAGAGAATATAGTTTCAGTGTTCTGTGCACTCATTGCCTGCTGATGACCTACGATTGTCTGATAATCGAGCCATTATGAACCGTCGCCAGCGCGTGAGGTGGCGGGTTTGCAAACGCAGAGGACTTGGTTCGGACTTTAGCCTCGAGAAACGCTAATCCTTCTTGTTGTACCAGTACGCGCGCCCTCCGTACCGCTTGTCCTTTGTTTTATGTTGATGGAATTAGAAGGCGGAACGTGCTGCACTTTTCTTGGCTTTCGGTGGCTGGTGTGTTGGTCGACGTTTTCAATTTCTGTTTTATTATGAACCTGCCCTTCCACCATGTCGCTGTCAAAATTAGTATTAAAAAAGCGAAAAGTTGGCTTCGAGTGTCGGGTGTTCAGCGACTAGCAGACACACGATTACCTGCTTGTGAAGTGCTAAGATAAGGCAGTTTGTCTTGTCCGTAAGGAGAGCGTTTCCGTGTCCAAGGAATATAGCAGTAGGCAGCATTACGAAGCACATCATTAAGGCAAGTATGACTCTCTGAAAGGCCAGATCAGGACTGACAAGGCAGAGGCTCTGAAAAAGGCCTTGTTTGCTCAGTGGAATATTTTCCTGATGAGAGTGCAGGAAAACGTGGCTCCAATTCGAACGGGCAATCATGTCATTAAATTGTTAGCAGAGGCATAGAGTCCGCACTGAAAGACCAACATGTCGAGATGTTGGCCTCAAATTTCCAAAAACTGCATGTATTATGGTTGAGAAATGTGAGAATCACACATTGTGGTAGCATCAAGTTTTACGAACAGCAATATTGTGTCTGATTCTATGATTGAAGTGTGTGTATTGCTCACATAATTCAGTTCTAATAAACATGAATGCAAAAAATCTTAATTTGGAAACCTCTGAGAACACTTAAATGCATCTGCACCTTTCAGCACTACTTCTCTGTAATCGCTCTGCGGCCCGCGACCTGACGGTACTATGACGATCCGGCCCGCCACTACCAAAAGGTTGCCGACCACTGACATGCATGATCAATGTCCATTTTCAAGAAAACCTGAAAGATTTTGAGCAGGACGCATTGTGCAAAGATTGGTTATTGATGATCTTATGAAAGATTCTAGATTAATGGTACATCCTCAGGAGTAATCCTTTTTTTTTGGGGGGGGGGGATGATGGAGAAGAAAATAATCTATTTCTTGATATTTTTTTGAATACACAAAGTGTCTTGTTCATTTGTGCTGTGAGGGTACAAAATGAAATAATTTTTTTGGTTGCAATGTTTGATGTTATTAAATAATATCCCTCCTAGCCCTACAAAGAACCTCCGAATTAACTTAATTTTCTTCATGTAAAGTTCGATACTAACTTGCTGATTTTAAGAATGTTCCAGACATGGCTGAAGGCGCACGTTTTCCTATGGATCTTCTTCTCAGGGAGGAGATTTTGCTAACAAAACATACTCCACATTTGATACGGCAATTTGAAGTCCATTTTTATTTTTTTTGGAGGGGGGAGGGCGAGGATCACCCTCATTTTCTCCTGAACTAAACGGTTGTTGCAATTCTAAGAGGCACCGGGCAAATAAAATAATACATGGGAATGTTTGAGGGGCAGCTGAGTCCACCAATCACCCCACTACCATGTTGGTTTCATGTTCGTCGGAGTTGGAAATCACACTCGGTTTCTTTTATTGAAGAACTCCCATTGGTGGGGTATTTTAGTGACTAATGGTGCCTCAGGGGAAGCATTGCGAAATTTCACCACTTTAGAGGGCGCGAATTCGAAGTCGCACGCTTCAGAGAAATTAATACTATTACAACCTGGCTCCTCAACTCTAGGAGGTACCAGTCTTTAGAGCTTACTGGTAGTTACCCTTCTGAATAAACCAGGCTTCGGGTTTCACTTCACGTACTATATATCTTCATGATCATATTTTTTAAATGTATGCTAATATATTCCAACTATTTTTTTTGGATACGAAGGGAAATCATACTTACCTGAGTGGAAATAGCGCTGGTATGATACCTTGCCGCGTTTCAAATGTTTAAGTCTCGAACCTTCTTCATTAGTTCAACGTAGAAAAAAATTAAGAAAGCACGTCTAAAATTATTGTTCAAGATGTCTTTGCAGATGATGTAGACGCTAACATTGCATGGAAATAATCACATTCCATGAACGAGTCCTTGAATTGTCGATACTAGCAAGTTATTACGCCATCACATGTATGAAATGAGTTTAGGTGAAACTGAATTTAACTGGCTGGAGTAAACTTTTCTTACTTGGAAAGCCAGAGCCTTCCCCAGGCAGCAAATAGCATTGATTCAATGTTGACTTGGTGTGGATTATATGTACCACTGTTGACGGTTTATACCCCAATGTTGAATCAGCATTGATTCAATGCTGCACTATTCACGATGGAAGTATCTGTATTGATGAAATTGGGTCATTGGACTCTTGCATTGTGACTACCGTTATAATTTTAAAAATAAAATTCATACTCCATCAGGGTTTGCAAAATACTTCAGGCAATCTCCTCGGTAGCATTTCGATCAAGAAAATCGCTCGATTTAATGCAGATAAGACAGTGGCTGGAAGGCACTTGGATTTCGTCGCATCAAGCAAGCAGAATGTCATTTTCAACTCGCATGACTGGGAGCAGGGGTTCGAACCCTGACCGAGTCATGCATAATTTTCGATATAGGCGCTGACGTGTTTGGGATAGGCCATCTAGGTCCTGGTTTAGGAGAAGTGAAGTGACGACACTAGCTGGATATATTCAAATTCAGATTGAGCTTAAATATTTATTGTTTCAACCCCTTATCCCAATCTGTAATGGACTTCCATTTCCAAGACAATTAGTCGTAATTCAAAATTTCCTGCAATGTTTATGTCCTTCATTGAGAGTTATTAGTGGGCTCTGCTGAAAGTTTCTAGGTGCTACTTTCGCAATCAAATTTTACTTAATTATTAATTAAAATTTTCTGTAAGTGGTACCCACGAACTTCGATGGTATGGGTCATCCAATAAAATAAATTCTTAAAACAAGACGACTCCTCAAGAGTGACCTTATTCAGAACCTCTGCAGGAGTTCATGAGATCATCAAGAGATGGCAGTGTCAAACTTTTCCCTCAGATCTTTGGCCTTGGGAAACACGAAAGAAGTCATATGGGGACATGTCCAGTGAGCATGGTGAAGGTAGACCACCTGAACCAATGAATCGTGCAAAAATTCAACAGTTCTGGCAGCAGTGTGGGGGTTGGTCTTGTCATGTTGTTGCATGATGCCACAAAATGCAGTTTCGGGACGGGCATTGTTGAGCTCCTAAAACACTGCAGGT